AAACTTCTTGTTCTATTGATCGCACCTTCTCCTTCTGAAGGAGATATCGCCATCTGGTCCTAGATTCCCTGGAGGAACAATTTGACCTGTCAGTCAACAACCCTTCAAGTTATGCCTTTTAGCACACTGTAATAGGTGAATGTACAATTGGCTGTCAATAGTGACGGAATTTATGGAGTCCAAGGTGCCACAACCTCTTCTATTTCATACTCCAGTAACCAGTCCGAGTCAATGCGACTAGAGGCGGGGTCCGTGCAGCCGGCTGACATGATGTGAAGTCTTCATCTACATCCTACACGCGAATTCGACTGCAAACGCTAACTATTGTCATATTCGGTAAGGCAACGATTGCGTATAATGGGGTGAATATACAGGTGCTTCTCGAAAAACTGATGACAACCGGAAGTTAACCAACTGGTAAGTAAGCCAAATAGGGGACATTAGTGATGCGATGGCAGGTACTGAGAGCATGAAGTAAGATCCAAAAACTGTTGCATTTGCGTTCACTAGGAGCCATTATTCTTACCTTCGGTATGCATGTCTTTTTTGCAGTCGAAGCTTCTGATGGAGTAAAATGCTGCCTCAAATGAGGTGGTGAGTGTGGCCTGGTAGCGGCATTACGCTTCAAAGAGGTTGACTGAAGTCTACTAACCATAGTTACATTGTGCCTGTAAAAGAGAGACAAAACCAAATCATCAGAGTTGAAAATGTTGCAGAATTTCAGTCTGGAGCATGCCTAAAATAAACGCAGAATCTTTTATTGATTCGAAGTACCATTTTTGACAAGTGGCGGTTCACGCTCCCCATGCCACAGTGCCGTCATTAGGACTAGCGGCATTTAATATGGCATTCAGCCAAAAACAAACAGATTACGTGTTTAAGATCGAGAGATCAACTAGTCCTGGCTTAACAATTGTTTGCAATTCGTCCTCCAATAGGAGATAAATCTACTGGAACCGTATATCCTTCATACTTACTAGTGACGTCGAAGACATCAAAGAGCTGTTTTCAGCATGTGACTTTGTATTTAACAAAATAGCTAAAATCATAAACCCCGGAAATGGGGATGCCTAATTACTACAGTCTCAGGTCCTAATGACTGCGCTTGTCATAACGGGGGCCTAAAATATTGCATTACTCTGGATTTCATTTTATCAGTATTTGCAGTTGGATTTGGCCCCAATCAGAAACCTGAACGAACACCGCCAGTACACGGCCCCAACCAAAAGGTTTGCATTTCGGAAGCAGGGCTAAGCCCCGAATTACCTTTATCGTAAACGTGAGAATTTCGGTGACTGTGCTGCAGCATGATGAGCGCGAAATGCCCCGTTACCTTGCGGATTTTTTCTCTACACTGAGGGCTATGAAATCTAATTTAAATTTTACGTAGGACTCTCCGCCTAAAAACAAACAAATGGCTGAGCTATTTTTTTTTTCATAAAATGAGATCGAAAATATGCAAACCGTAAAACCGACCAAAAAGTGGCTGCGAAGGTAAACTGACCCTTTGTCCATTTTGGTACCCATTTTGAAGTCATTTTCTTTCATGCTTCCGAGGGACAAATGAAGATCTGCCAATGGCTGACCCTCGACGCACACAACAGCAAAAAGAGCAGAGTCGGGCCCAGCGCACGCCAATTCTGTTAATGTCTGAAGTAATGTGACCTGCTGTGGAAGATCCCGCTGGCGCAACCGCTTGTCCTCCTTGTCCAATTTTAAGAGTATTCCACCTCGATTTTTCCGAATTTCCGGGTCCTGTCTCTTAATCTACCAAGAAGGTTGTGTGTAAAACTAGACACTGACACCAACCTCAATTTCCTTTATTCTCTCAATGGTATCGATCCAAACGCTTAGAGCGGCAAAGAAATCTGCGTGAGTCGACCTGAAAGTTTTCCACTTTGAAATCTACATTTTATAAGTGTAAGAACAATTGAACTGGTAACAAAACGTACTTCGGTTTCGAGCTTGCACAACGTTTCCTCCGAACAGTCAGGAGGGATCGAGGAGCGAAAGGAGGCACAATAATCTCGATCGACATAGCAGGCAGACCAGACTTCTTCGAGCTCAAGCTGACATTTGCTAATGATATTTTGGATATTTTGTAGACGTAATGCACATAGACGGTCATATTCTGTGAGACCCTGTGTAAAAAATGCATGAAAGTTTGGAACTACTAAGAAAAAATAAAGTAGATTCGGTAATTTAAGTAAAATAGACGCGTCACCCAACCTCATTAAAGGGTGTAAGGAAAACTAGATGCCAGACTAGGCCGAAGTTCGATAAAATGCAAAACAAGCGAATTAGTAGCCCGAAATTGAACAAACCAGAGGCTTTAAAAAAGAAATGTTGATGGTTACAGCCGTAAGAATTTTGCAAAAATAACTGACAGCGGCCGAACGAGTTAGCAATAGATGGGTCACAAAATAGGCACTTTCTGCATAGTGTGGATTTTATTCTAATTTTTCCCGAGGATAGCGATGAGGATTGTCGGCTCAGAAAGATGAATTACCGATAAATTCATTTAAAAATTGTGGTTGTTATTTCTGTAAGCACAGACCGAAGTCCAGTTAAACTGGACTTTTATTGTACTCCGTCTAGTGTCTAAATGGCTTCAGTGAAGACCTAAGCGCGAAAGCATCAAGACGCGCTGACGAATAATCTAAGGTAGTCACTGAGTCAGTGAGGCAGATAAAGCTAGCAGCAACAACAGCTTTTATGGTATAAGGAGTGTTGTAGGCTTCTATTAACGAAACTCGGGGTTAATTATATGGTTACAATAACAGAGGTTTGACTATGCTGCATCTTAGGACACGAAACACGGAATACACTAACTGCACCAACTACCGCAATTGACATTAGCTTTGCAAGCAGACGTGAGACCGAAATGATCAGCAATTCAGTCTTTTTACATTCAACCAGGGGTAGTATTGAAAAGGTTAGAGTTCATACGTAATGAGACACTGAAGGGCTAGGACGTGATCGTCTGTCTTATTATAAGACAGATAAGACGGCGACAAAAAAGCCCATTATTTTAATAAAACATCTGCCAAAAAATGAAGGGAGGAAACTTGCAAAAACGTACAAATTGGATTCGAGAAACGGCCGTACACGACTGTTCTTCCGGTATCTTGCACGGTGATAATTCCATACGGCTTCTCAGGCTGCTTATTTTGTCATATATTTCCTCTTCACGGCGACGGAAAGTCTGGTACCGTTCAAAACATTCTTTTTCTGCATCGTCCGCTTCTTTAATAAACGTTTCAGTTAGATGGCCGCAAGCCTCCAGGACGACGGTAAACTTTGCTACAGTGTCAGACAGGTCGGAGAAACAATCCGCACCGAGATATTCAACGTAGGATTTGATTTTGTTAGAAATCCTTAAGTATGCCCGTTCTCTTTGATTCTATTGAATGCAATTTAAAGACTTAAATAAAATACCTTGATTCCCGTAAGCTCATCAACACGCGCTTGTAAAACGGCCTTCTCGGATGCAGTTGGTATGGTTGGAAAACCGCTTAGAAGCTCCAAACCCAAAAATTCGCAAAGGCCTTTTTCAGTACTTTGTAGTGCACGGAAGTCTGCTGTAAGTTCGGATACTTTTTCAATAAGTAGAGCCTTTCGCTTGGAAAGTTTGGACTGTTGCTCCAAAAGCGGTTTATCCTGGTCGGTGTCATCCGAGTCTATTTGTAAATCTTTCTCCAGGGCACGAATCTCTTTCTAAA